TTTTTTTTGTGAGTGAGTGGCAATTCACAGCTCATGGTTTTATGCAAGAGATATATCTGTGGCTTGCTTTCTGATTAACCAGTCCAGATATTTGTTGAGCAGTGACTATGTATGAGACTCTGTATTAGGTGCCGGAGGTACTGAGTGGGCATCTGGAAACACGAAAGACTGAGCTGATGCAGAAGGTTCTCCCTCTTGCTGCAGACATGGACATGCTAGACAAAGTAGGAGACAAATTTTTAACAACACCTAACTTAGTTTAGAAAATTCCTTGATGCCTGAAATGGGAAGGAAAAATCTCACCCAGACCAATGGTGACATGTCTGGGCTGTGGGCCAGGACATGGGTCCCAGAGGTTAGAGGTGGAGATTTTTAAGCCATGTGGGGAGGTCTTGAGCCAGTGGGAGGTGAGATAGCAGAAGACACCCCTGCATCATGCTGGATACTTGAGGGCTGCCCTATTTATGAACAGGGCATGAGAAAACTCTCCATCCACCTCCTGGGAAGGTGGCAAGGAAGCATGGCCTCTGTCCAGGCCCTTGAGTAAAATTCACCTGCAAGAGATGGAAGCCCTAACCTCTCCCATTTATGAATGCAAAGTCCATGTTCATACTGGCCATGCAGTGGGGAATTCCAAACTGATAAATGACATAAAAACTCAGGCGGACAAGATGAAGATACAATGTCACCCCAAGGAGACACCACAACTTGAGCACAGATCCCTGCTGGAGAAAAAAAAGAAAGAAAGAAAGAAAGAAAAACACCACTAAAGATGAGCAAATAGTCCAAAACCAATGAGAAAACTAGCGATGGGGAGAGAGCGAGAACAAGTTCAATTCAAAGGAACATTAGTCTTTAAGACCTTGAGATAATAGAATAATCTGAAGGAGGCAATTAGACATGTTTAAAATTGAAGAGGTAAAAGTAGCCACACTGAAACAGTAGAATGAGTATGAACAGAGGCAGTGAGAAAGGCCACCAAGTGCGTGCCTGCCTTCAAGGGACACCTAGCCTGCTTGGGAGAGGGAACAAGACAGCAGGGGAGCCTCAGATGATTCAGAAATGGCACGTTCAGGAACTGTCGCAGTCCAGTGTCTGCCTTCCTCCAGCTGATGCAGAGATGCCCCTAAAGAAACTTTATAATTTCTAAATAGTTACCTCAGTAACTACCTGCCTCTCCACCCAATCTGTGAATACCTGCAGCGTGGAGATAAAGCGGTCCTGCCTTAAACGCCCTGGTCGCATGTGCCACACTGCCCCGTACTCTCTCCTCTTGCCACGCTGCTCTTCTCTTCGTTCTCCAAGCACAATAAGCTCGTTCCTGCTTTGGGGTCTTTGCCCACGCTGTTGCCACCATCCAGAATGATTTTTTCCTTATGCTTTTTTTGGGGGTCTCAGCTTAATGGTCACGCCTCAGGAAGACCTTTCCTGGCCACTTTATCGAAAAAGGTCCCTCTCTACCCCTGTTTTCTATGTTACCCCCCTGTTTCTTTTCACTTTTAATTTATAATTATTTATTTTTTTTCTGTGTCTCCCCTGTGAGAATGTAGATGCCATGGAGGCAGAAATAAATTTATCATATCATCTCTAATGACTGGCATTGAGTAGATATTTAATGTATTGATTGACTAAATACATTAAAACTCTTAATTGGGGGTGTGGCATGACCTGACTCATGTTCACCAAGTGGCCCTGGGGCAGCGTGAATGACAGGCAGAGGATGGGAGGCAGGGGGATCAGGAGGCTAGTGCCGTGGTTTAGGCAGGAGATGAGGACGGCTTGGGCTGGGCTGGGCGATGAGGGAGTAACTGGATGACTGAGAGAGACAAGGCAGAAGCTAGGGTAGGGGGTAGAGTCAAGAATGAAGCCTAGATTTCTAGTAAGAATAGCATGGTGAACGGGGCACCATTGCTGGGCCAGAAGGCAGCAGAAAACCAGACACCTAGTACACATGCCATAAACGTGTACTTGAAGTAGAAATGATCTTAGTACTACAACTTACTTTCTGTTCCCCAGGTGTACCTATAACTGTCATCTATCATTTCCTACTGCCTCTACCTGCCTTGTGTTACCCCTTTGTGACCTGCAGGCTAATCCGCAGTTCCCACCAGAGCACAGTTGCCTCTGTCTCCCTGCTAAGGAGTGTGCAGTGTGTCCTTCCCCTACTGTCTCCAGCCATCAGTGCCATTGTTACCAATAATGCTGCTGTAATTTTTAATTAACTTTCTTGTTGTTTTGTAATTATATTAACATTAACATTTATACCCAAGGATATTATTACAATTTTCCACTACTAATGGGATTATTAGATTGTTCATTTGTTTGAAAGCCATCAGCATAAGATTTACCTTCAACAATATCTACTGTGATTTTTAATGCCCTTGAAACTTGCAGTCAGTGATAAGTCTGTAATAAGAAAATGCTGGTAAGCATATAAATGTCTTTCTTGGGAATAGAGGGCTTTTTATTTTCATCCTGGTTGGACTCAGGTTCTTTGATAGAGTGATTGGTAGGATACAAAGTATTAAAGGCTGAGAACACTGTGCTAGTTTGTAGATGTGTTCAAACAAGTTCCCATTTATTCAGAGGACATTTTTATATTCTAGAAGGATTCACATTCCTTCTCCTTTTTATGTTGTTTCTTACCTGACTTACATAAAAATATAATAAATTGGATGTTATAACCATGAATTGTTTGGAAGTGAAGGAGCCCCGAAATAACTCTACCCAACTGACTTTGCAAGGAGCTGGGGAGTTCGATGCATTGCTAGTGGAACTCTGGAAACAAGGCTTATCTCAAAGGCTGGTGAAAGGAGTTCCTCTGTTGGACAGTTGTGCAGGGTGGGAAAGATGGATGGGCAAGGCCCGCTTGATGGGTGTACGACCTGGAGACTCTCAGGGCTTCATGCTGTGAAATTCAGAGCATCACCATCTTGAAATTCTTAACAAGTTTTGAACAGGGCAACTGACATTTACATAAGACCTTGCAAATTTCATATCTGGTACTGTGTACAGGGTTTGGAGCCACACGGACTTGGGTTCAAGTTCTGGTATTCTTGAGCTATTGACTGCTTCAGTTTCTTTACTTGTAAAATTGATAATAGATTGTCTTCTCAAACTAGATGTGAGAGCTGAAAGTACATGTCCAGTATCCAGGGGGGCCGAAAGGCAGTGATAGACCCTGAGATATGCTCAGTGGGATTTTTTTTTACTTTGTGTGCAGTATCCCTAATTAAACTTATCGTTATAACTTAATGTTAGGGACACTAGCCACATGGGACAAGCAGACACTGCCTGTGTGGTCAGAAGCTAACCCCAGGTGTGCTGGTTAAGAACACATCAAGCAAAGAATGTTCTCCTAAGGGGGACATTCTAAAGCTGAGGGTCCCATCCATCACTTACCAGCTTTTTATTGCTATGACACATGACAGACGATGTTCACCCACACAACAGGGTCTCAGTTTCTCATAATTCATTCATGCTTCCTTCCTTTCCAGAAACCTCTCAAGATAGCCAATAAGTGAGACTGGCATGATTATGAAGATGTCCTTGCTCTTGATCTAAATTATTCGCAAACTTTAGCATTTCGATCATTATTTGTAACAAAGGGTTTTTGCCATACCACACAACAGAGCTTGACAAGCCAGCAAGTCACAATTCCATGCTTGAGAACTAGAAATAAAGACCCTCAGGATCCCAAACAAAGGATCTCCCTCAACCCTGCTCGCCATGATAAGCCGAAGAGACCAGGACCCATATGGAGCCCTCCATGACTTTACAGGTATATGTGGCTGAGCTGCAGCCTGAATGACTGACACCAGTTCTGACTGAGGTATGTCAGCCAGAATCAGAGGAACACTAAGTAGCTGGTCAGATACCCTTATGATGAACAACATGCAATCTTAAAACATCTGGTTAAACATTTTTTCTCCTAAGAATGGAAAAAGACTTTAAATCAAAATAATAAGAAACATAAGCTAATTCCTGGGCATTTTTGGACTTTGGTACAAAAAGATTCCTCAGGGATTATAGTAGGAGTCAGGGTGACCTTTGTTGCATTCAACTTAGGGTTTGTGGGGGCTGGTAGGCCAGATGTTTGATTTCAAGGGAAAGCACCTCCGTCAGCTGTGCGGCTCAGGTCTCTGGGCACAGCCACATCATGCGACATGGGCCTGGTGTCTCAGGAGATGTGTGGCAGCCTCACAGTGACCTATGTTGTGAAATGACCACATTCCATGCACAGCTTGCTCTTCCTTTATTTTCTCTCTAGTGCTTGTGGGCAGTGAGATGCGGCTGCCCACTGAGCTCTTCCTGGCCTAAAGGGTTTTTGTGGGTAGTGGTGACCAAGGCCAGACCATCTCTTCTCCACGGGGCAGACTATACCTGGCCACAGAAACACTGCAGCTCCTCTTCCAAGATTCCTCATCAGAATGACAGGCTATTTCTCCTTTGTCTCTCAGTAGTATGAGTGGGTGTCTAATAATGGTACAGCTCTTAGACCCACATAACATCTCACATGGTACCTAAAAGATGCTTCAGTCTCTAATGGTTATGACTAATTTATCAAACACCTCAAGACATAGTTGCAAGAGCGTGTACTGATATAAAAATGTTTATTTTTGGAAAAGGCAATTTTGGCTTAGACAACTTGGATATCACTCCCTGACCCTCTCAAAAATCATAGTAAGCAAACCACAATCCACCAAACTGACTCTCAGGAAACCAAAGACGTGGAGTTCCAACACTGTGGCCGTAGCAGCTGCTTTTAGCACATACTGAAGAACACACAAGTGCAATCAAGGAATGACAACAAGATGGACATTGGTGCCTTGATCCTCAACCTAATTTAAACCTTCTGGACTCAGCAAATAGATTTTGCTTCCTACAGTACCAGTTTTCCAGCATATTGTACTATAAATTTCAAGCTCCTGGGAAAGAAATCTAAAAAATGTTTTGATTGCATTTCTGTTTTGGGATTGTTCTGTGATTGTTTTTCTTACCTGTTGTCGAATTTCTTCCTCCATTTTTACTGGTGAGCCCAATTCTGCAACTTGTTTGACGCCTTCGCTTGCATATCCTCCGTACTCCCACAGCACGTAATTCTTGGAGTGGGATCCACCAATGATTGCAGACCAATGATTGGCCCGACCTAGGAAAGCCAATGAGGATGCAGGTATCAGTGTGGCTGTGGCTACAACTCAAATCCCTTAAATGATGAGCGGGAGGCATAATTGGACAATGATTCAACCAGATCTGGTTATGCACCTGCTCAGTGTTAGGCCCTGTGCTATTCAGTGGTGAATAAGACAGTCCCTATAAATGAGTAAGTCTTGGGAATATGCAGACAGGGCAAAAGTAAAGGCCTGAACGACACACGGAGGTGGCCCAGAATGATGACTTCTGCTTCAGAGGATTTTCAGAGAAGGGGACAGCTGAGAGGATTTTAAAAACCGATCAGATTTGTAAGACAGAATAGAGAGAACAGGCTATTTCTGGCAGACAAAGAAACATTAAATAACATTGTGTGTTTGGGGAACCGTAAGTAACGCAGCATTGCTGTGTCACAGGCTGTCAAGGGGAGAGACAGGCAATGATGCCAGAGAGGGAGGAAGAAGCCTGCTCACGGATGGCCTTGTTCTAAATACTTCAGGAGTTTGGATGTCATTTGAAAGGGTCTGAAACCACTGAAGGGTTCTGAGTTGGGGAATGACACGATCACATTTGAATTTCAGATAAATCATCCAGGCAGCAGTGCAAAGAATGCATGAGAGGGAGCGAAATTGGAGCGCAGAGTTGGGGAGGTCAGCAAGGAGCAAAAGGTCAAGGGATTGAGTGTGAAATAGGCTTAGCAATTCTGGGGAATGAGCATTGTTGTCTTTAGCTGGCTTTGATATACCTCTCAGGATGGGGGTAGGCAGGCTAGCCATGCTAAAGGATGGGAAGGCATCTGAAATATGAGGAAGTGACCAGTCCACTGTGGTTTGGTGAGAATCATGCAGGAGGATGACTGTTGTGGGATATGGGTGGGAATTAATGGTTGACTCAAGAGGAGAACAGAATAAGGCTTGAGTGGGACCAAGATAGATCTTAACCTGAAGACTTTTTTTTAAAGTCCCAGGGAGAGGAAGGAGAGGAACAGAGACAACACTGGTGTGACACTGAGTTTATTTTGCACATGATGAATATAAGCACATACATATTTCTTACTAAGTGACACATGATTCATCCTAAGGATGGCTTAGTTCTTCACCATTCTTTGGTTGGGTCTATAATGTCTCAACTTAAAGAACATTTTCAGGCTTCGTGAAGAGGAGAACTTGAACTGGGTGGACTCAACTGATGTTTGCAGTTCACCACCCTGTGGCCCAGAGTGGGCAGAACTCTCCACTCCACCCTGTCACTTAAGAAAATGATTCTCAACAGGGCCTGGTCGCGTTTACATTTGCCACCTGCTGCCCCATGGTCTCTGCTTCCAAGGGCACATTAAGAGCGTGGGCACCAAGCCAGCCTCCTAGCCTGCTGAGGGCAGGCTTTCCCCATCCCAGGCAGATGATATCACCACGTGGGTCTGCCCAACTGCTTGTTCATTATTTCCCACACATCAGGGAAATGAAAACTTGTGTTAATATGTCATGTCCTTAGAGAAGACAGATGGAGATGCTGCCAGCTATTTCTCTAACTCACTTCCTCACTGTCACCTAAGCCCAGAAGACTGCTTGTGTAAGCAAGGGCTAGGGACTAGTGCTGACCTTTGGTTCATGATGTAAACTCAGAGAGACCAGTTTCGGCACCTCTTGGTCCTTCTCTGTTCTACCAAAATTCTCCCTTGTTCCAGACCCATCCTACCTGCAATTTTATACCTTAGTGGCTTAGTACATGCTGTTCCCTCCATGCTTCCTAGTCTTGGCTTGGCTAACTCATTCCTCTTCATGATTTACCCAGAAGCCTCCTAAGGCTATCCTGGACTGACTTAAGCCCTTGTCTTCGGTCTCCTCACAGCACAGATCACTTTTATAATCACTGTTACATGTCTGTTTTCTTACTAGACTGCAGTTCCCTGATGGAGCCTGTCTATAGCACTGTATCCCCAGTACCTAGCACTGTGCCTGATGCATTGTGAGCACTTAGCATGTTTCCTAGAGCATTTCATACAAACAATCTAGTGGGAACGTGGCTATATATGTGCTCAGAGCATTTGGGAGGAGGCTTGTACGGGTTGGATTCAATGTGATTAAATTCAAGTCTCAGTTCAGCAGAGTTCCTGACACCTACTGAGTTAACATTAACATGCTCAGCTATCCTGCATGTTGTTAAGGAACAAGCACCAACCAACAACAAAAAAGAAAGGCATTGGTCTTATAGCCAGCAGACAGGCACTCAAATCCCGCCATTGCCTTTTCCTACCTGTGTAAACTTGGTCAAATTCCAATTACTTTATCTCCCCAAGTCTCAGCTTCCTCCTTTGTAATTCAAAAATGATAATGCCTACCTTATCAGCCTATTATAAGAATTAAATTTAATTTTTGAAAAAAATGAGATAATATGTCTGCAATCACTACTGGCAACACAATAGACACTCAATAATTATAGTTCCCTCCTTTCCTAGTTGTTAGGGAGACTATAAAAATGAGTAAAATATGAAACCTGCCTTTAATTCAGTATAGGAGATAAGAAATAGACAATGTGGAACAGGATAACAGAATAGGAACAAGCACATTCATAGGGGGATTAGGAGATGGGCCCTGATGGATCTTTTTGGTTTATTCATTCAGCTTCCATTAAGTATGTGCCCAGTGCAGTGGCTGGCCCTGGACACTGACAGGAATTAGATATGGTGCTTGCTCTGGAGAGACTCATAGTCCAGGGGCGGGGAAACAGATGGAGGAGCAGATTACTTACAATTAAACGTGGTCGGGGGTATTACAGAAAAAAGAACACAGAGCACAGGGGATGCAGCAGCTAACTCCAAACTCCCCTAACATCCCAGCATTCAGTCTAAAGGCGCACATGCAGAGAAGCAAGTGCCTCACAGTGGGATGCCTCTGTGGTTTCTTACCCTTATATAAATGTCATGGTACCAGTTCAATCTTCTAGTCAACACAGTTGTAAGTTTTCAACAATGGTCTTTAGACATACCACATCAATTCACATTTCAACACATTGAATATCATGAACCACACAGCAGATAACATCAGGGCACTAGGCTAGTGTGAGGGACCAGCCTACACGCTCCCTGGTGGGACAGGACAGGCACCCATGGAAAAACAATTTGCAACATTAGAAAGGGTAATGATTTCAGGTGAGGAGCAGTGATTCAGGTACAGAAAAGCATGGTGGCCAAGGGCCAGAAGATCTGGGCTCCAGGCCTCCATTCATGACCATGAAATAGTCATTCAATCTCTCAGAGCCCCAGCTTACCTCTTTTTTAAAAATTTATTTTTAAACTATAGTTTATATTCAATACCATTCCATGCCAGTTTCAGATGTACAATAGCACAGTGGCCAGAAAACCATGTACTCTACAGAGTGGTCCCCAGTCTGCCCAAAGCTCCCCCGCCCCATACTCAGTTGTCTTGATATTATTGACTATATACCTCATTCTGCAATCCATGTCTCTGACTATTCTGTAACTACCAACTTGTACGGGGAAAATAGAGAATAATTACTGGGCTTGACTATCTTGCAGAGTTGTGCAAGGTAATTGGACTGGTTTCAGAAAGAACTATAAAAACTTTAAAGAACTATACAAAACAAAGGTCTTTGAATGATTACAGACAGAAAGCACTATGGGAATCCACAAGAAGAATCTGGAAGAAAGCGGGAGAGCTGGGAAAATTTCCCAAGGGAAGATCCCGCGGTAGGAAAAGGATTCTATTAAAAAATAGATAAGAGGGTTAAACACCTATTAAGTGTTAGGTATAATTCTTTCCTAGGTGTAAACATCACTACAACCTCATTCTCATTTTCTAGATGAGGGCACTGAGGCTCAGAGATATTAAGGAACCTACTGAAGCTCACAGAGCTAGTGATGGGCAAAGCTTGGGTTCAAACCCAGGTCTGCCTCATCTCAGAAGACACACTCTTTTTTCTACATCCTACTGAGAGGTCAGGGACCAGAAAAGATCATTTGGTGAGTGAAGAGTTAGAAGGTAAATAAATAAGATAAAAAAGAGAGCCAGGGTCAGGCTGGAGAGGGTGCTGAGTGTCCATTGTGGTAAATGGCATTGGCAAAAGGGGGAAATGTGATGGGAGTTTCCTTCTGAGAAGAGTGACAAGACAATAGCTACATAGAGAGCTGATACTATGTACCAGGCACTGTGCCAAGGACTTGACCAACTTTATCACATTAAATACTAAAAAAACTCCCCCAATTTTGCTACAGATGCTCTTATAAACTTTCATTTTTCAAATGAGGAAACTTAGACTCAGAGACGTTGAGTTAATCCATGGTCACAGGAGCAGAGGAATGGAGGCACTGGCGCTGAGTTGGGTCTGTCTGGTGCCAGAGCCCAGCTCCCCCACACCACACCGCACCACCTCTCGGCCAGGACACACTCTCAAGGGCCCAAAGGGGAGCAGATCAAATAGAAAACCCATCAACATTTCTGCATGAGTTGTGTAAGGTCCGACTTAGGGCTGTGGAGAGAAAATGGGGACATGGGGTCAGAGGTAGGAGCCAGTAAGATGGGAAGATGGAACAGTCCTTGGGAGGCAGTTTGGTGAAGTGGCTGACACTCTGATTTTGGGATCAGACTAACATGTATTCTAGTCTCAGTTCTCAAACTTTCTAGATTGAGTAAGTCAGTTAATCACTCTCATCCTCAGTTTCTTCTTCTGTGAAGTAGGAATGCTGACATGACCACCCTCTTGGTGTTGTTCCGAGGCTGATGTAATGACTAGGGGCTGGCACATAAAACAGGCTTGATGCTAATAAATGTTAGCCGGTCAAATTAAATTGGAACAAGGCAGGGCAAAGCCAGACAAGTCTCTGGATGTCATGAGAACCAAGAGGAATCTGATTGGGTGACTGGGCGGCTGTTTGATTTAGAACAGGTACATAGAAATGAAATGTCTGAGGCAAGATCCTGAATATGAAAAGTGGTAGAAAGTTGTCTAAATGTGACTCAGTAATCTGGGGCCTGCAGAATG